ACACTATTGATTCAAATTCTGAGTTGCCATGATGAAATTCACGCAAGTTGGATCAGGCTGTGATTTCAGTTTTTTTACTTTGATTTTCATTGTGATTTTGAATCCAGCCCTCAATCAGTTGGTGATTTTGGGTCCCTTTGACCATTAATACGTCATTGAGATCTGGTGTGTGATTTAAGTGTTCCCTTAATTTTTTGAGCAGTGTAATGCTTCTTTTGTGTTTCCCTTGTGATTCTTGATATTGTACATTTATTTAAAAGATATTTTTCTCTGTCTTTACTTAACCTAAATATTAAAATTACAATTTGAATGTGTAACTCAGATGGAGATTTATATTGTTTTGTTGTTTTATTGCTTAACACTACAAGCACCAGAATTCCATAACTACTAGAACAGCCGCTAGATTCCCAACTCTATATGTTTAATGATAAATAATTGAGAGATTAATGCATTTATTGTATTAGGATATCTTTTTAAAAAATAAAGTAACACCAAAATGTACATTTAAACAAGTTTAATTATACATTATCAATATCAATAGTAATTAGTAGCCTACCGTAATTATCGAATATCACAACAGATAGGCTATATTTCCATATCCATTCAACATAATTCAGAACAAGATAATAACAATTAAAAGTATTTTATTTAATTATAAAACATTTTATTTTAAATGTTTACGTGCACCCAGGAAACGTCACTGTCACTTTCCAGCTCCGATTGTTCCCCTGCATCCAAATAATCACTATTCAAGTTCTGAAGCATCTCCAGGGCCATGTTTCCAGTCATGTTCCTCTTCATTCGCTCATTCATTTTAGAAGCCTAGCTATATATATAGCCTATAGATAACGTGGCCATCACTGTGAAGCGCTTTGTGTATCTATGATAAAATGCAATATAAATGTAATTCATTATTATTATTAGCCTATTTCTGATCAACCAGTTTAGTCTAATATACTTTTTGTTTGTAGAAATTAGCATATATACAAAACACTCAGGACCGCTACTGACCTTTCTATTGACATTGAGAGAGACAAAGGTCAACCGCAGGAAATGTAACAAAAGAATACCGCAATGACCTATGAAATAGGTAAAAATGTTAATTTGTTTTTTTGCCTTATGTGTAATTTATATGAAAAACATTTTAAATGAAAATACAGACACTTTTAGGAAAAGTCAGGTACCAGCAGGATTTTATTTATTTTTTCAACAAAGAAAGATTCTACAAAAATTTCAAAACGTTCAAAATGACCATCATGGCCGTTCTAGTGTTAAAGGGGCTATATATCAGGGGCCACTACAGCTAAAGGTCTGTCTGCCAATTCACTGCCAATTGCATGCACGTCGCAGTTCCTTGCAGGCCTATTCCAAGTACTACTTATAAATGATATAATATTCTTTATGTGGTTCATCAATTGTGATAAATGATTCAAATGTCCCACAAAGTTCACACACAACTCTGCACATCACCGGCGCAGCTGCTGCTCTGTCTCTCTCCATCTTCTATCACAAACGCATGCAATGCCACACATGCACACTGACCGCCACTTCCTTAATGGGCACTATTGTTATTAAACAACAACATAAAATTGTTGCACTGAGAAAAGTTGGCTATGCCCACCCACAGCGTGGGCCTCTCCTACATCCGAACTTTGTATATATACAGCGGTGAGACCTGGCCTTCGGCTCCCAAAATGCTTTTTCTTCAGCACTGAGAACCAAGGTCCAGTGAGGCCTTCAACTTAGAGGGCTGCGCCTATACTCATAGAATCTGGAGTTATAGTACGTAACTACCGTTCTATTGGGTTAGAGGCGAAGCAACGCCTCACTGGCCCATACGGTACCACCAAGCACAAACCCACCTGCCCAGAGACATAAAATGAGCCACCCAGTCCCCTGCAGTCCGTGGCATTGGTGTCGGCATGACACCACAAACAGGCGCTGCGAACATCGCCACGAAGCGTCGTCCTCAGATCCAGATCGGCATGGAGGCGCCACCTCGACATGTACTCTGCTCTGATGGAGGGCAGACAAGTGTACGCCCACAGAAGCAGCCGCCTGGCCAAACCCAGCAGCTGCGCTGAGCACACCTGGCTAACGGCAGCTGGCTCACACAGTGTGGGAAATGCGTGCTTGGTCAACAACTTCCACAAGAGCAACAAGATTCAACACGTCACGGACGGCACACACATGTACAAATGTAGTGGCGTCCCGTCCTGCTCGGTAGAAGACATCGCTCTTCTTTTCTGACTGAAAATCTTCTGCTCTTTAGACAGTTCAGAGCTGAAGAAAAATGGGATCCGATGGCCAGGTCTCACCGTTGTATATATATGTGGTGGGGAAAGATTCCCCAAGTGCAGGTTAAGGTGTGGTGGTGTTGAATGCAGCCTAGACTTAACTCCTCCCCTGGCCAACCTCCTTATTAGGCTTAGGCTGTATAAGACACCTGTGTTCCCTTGCTCTCTCTCTGCTTTTTGATCTGTCCCTGCTGTGGTTGTGGTTGGTGTTTGTGGTGTTTGTTTATACTGAATCACATCTCTGCCTCATCAGTAACGTCCCTATATGCCTTTCTCTTCTTCAGTTAATAAGAGGTTTAACAGTATTTCAATTCCCCCCCTTCCTGGTCCGCCGTGCCACATATACAAGGTGCGGACGTAGGAGAGGCCCACGCTGTGGGTGGGCGAAGACAACTCTTCTCGGTGCCACACAGGCACGCAGAGGGTAAACCCAATAGCGATAGCCTTAGAGGGCGAAGCCTATACAAAAAGAACAGCTCTTGCAGTAGGCTAACCAAATCATTTATGCACAAATCATCCAACGGCCCTTCATCCAACTTAAATTTTTTTTCCCCCACCTCTGCTGGTCCAAGTAGTTTCTTTATTGTATTTTCTTTAATGTTTGCTTTCTTTAGAGAAGCTGCTGTCAGTCATTTTAAATGTTTCCATAGGCGCAGTATGTCACAACAAATACCATAGGACATTTATGCAGCAAAACTTAAAACTATAGTTATAAACTTGACAGGAAAGACAGAGCAAACTCTCCATAGGAAAATGAATTCAACTTTTACCTTCTAAAATAATTTAGACACACTAATGGAGCTCAGGATTGATCAAGATGACAGCTGCTTTACTCCAAACAGGTTCACTGTATGAACCTGGACTGTCTGTGAGACCTTTTGGATGTGGAGAACACAGAACATTAACATAAAATTCTGACCGATCCTGCCGGCGTGTCATGAGATTTAAATATGAAGTTATGCTGCTATGCCCCATGCGTAAATGTGCTCAGCGTCTTAATGGGGAGACGCTTCACCCTATTTCATCTACCCCGAAAGTCAAAGGTTTCATCCAAAATTCTGCCCGCAAACAGTGGTGCTCTCAGTTATTGCATGCACAAGGTTTTCATGTGCTTATTGTCTTTCCCCAAGTGTGGACACTGAGAGCTGAAGTTGAAATGAGAGACGGTAGCCTATAATCAGCTGCACCCGCATGCCGTTCATTTAAGTTTATCGTATTATCAATGTTTTGGTTTTTTTTACACATACAAAGGCTATAATTACTGAGGTTCGGACCTCAGTGACCTCATACTAACCACTCTGTGTTGAAGGAAAGTGTGCCCAATTTGTACATTTTCACTTAGAGGTGTACTCACTTCTGAAAAACTAAAAAGTCTCTCACCTTAAATGTAATGTTGCAGCGTGTAGCCTCACGTTATGTATTGCCAGCCTTCAGCAATATCATTAATTTATTTTACTTCAGTCACAGATGCTGGCACCCTGGCCTTAATAAAGGCAAAGATCAAGCTGGATAACCTCTACAGTAGGCTTTCCCACACACTGATTTATTTGTGGCGGCCTGACACATTATCAACACTGATTTTCAATTGATTTTGTTACAATTTAAAATGGGTAAATGATCACAGAGATCCGTGCAGCGCATATATTCTCTCAGCATCTCCCCTCACCCCGTCGCTCCCTCTCTCACTAGCCACAGTTATGCTGTCATTCTGTGGGAAACACTGCATTTACATACAGTTGGGATTCATGTTGATAAATATGGGTGGGCAGGAGGGTGAATGTGAGCAAACATTCTCAATGTGATAACCCTGTCCATTAGTGACTACCTAATTCGCATTCTCTTAGACCCACTGTCCTCTTTTCCTAAGTCCTTATGAATTCTCCTTCTTTCCTTGATCTCATGACGTTTTCCATCGAGTTCAAGGAAAAGTGGTTAGAAAAGGAGATTTGTAGATTTTTTACTTTTCGGGTCTCAACACTCTCACCTGTGTTAACGAGAGAATCATGGACATTATGTCAGCTGGTCGTTTTGTGGCGGGGCTGAAATGCAGTAGAAATACTGTTTTGGGATTAAGTTCATTATCATGGCAAAGAGGGACTTTGAAATTATTTCCAATGGATCTGAGCACTCTTCATAGCATTCTGTAGTATATGCAAATTTCCAACATAAATACTGAGGCAGCAGGCTTTAAAAAATTGAAGTGGTGTCATTCTCAAAACTATTGACCGCAACTGTAAATATTACACCAATAGGTTTAACAAAATAAGCCAAACCTGACTTATACATCAGTGATCCATTTTGTATTAACAAAAAGCAGCCGTACAATAAATCTTTTAAATACAATCTAGCGTAAAACAGAAAATATCGAATCAAAGAATAAGTAGACACACAATTAATGCCAATTTTAGTACTATACTATGCAGATACTCTGCTATGGATACTTTTCAGTCAGCACCTAAAAAGTATTTGTTTGTTTGATACCCAGCCCTTGTTGTAAGGTCCTATGGACATAAAATTACCGTAACCTGTGCATATATTGTAGAAAGAATTTTTTTTTTTTACCATTGCCATAGAATGTAGTGTGGGGTTTTGCATTACACATGCATGACACAATTTAATCAAGTTTCAAGAGTCTGCAAACTGACCTTCATATTGCACAGAAAACAACACTTCAGTGTGAAATAAAATAATAATCACCCCCACTGATGGTCACGAGTCAGCATAAGAATGTTTAATATTTCATATTTTCAGAAGCCAAAACTTTGAACATAAAGGTGAAAGAAGTACATTTCACTGAATGCACTTACAGAACTATATAACTGGGCTGCATTGATCTAAAATTAGATTATAATGGGGACCAGACCACAGAGCAGGTATATTGGATAGAAGAAATACAGGTAGGTAAAGGAGTGTGTGTGTGTGTGTGTGTGTGTGTGTGTGTGTGTGTGTGTGTGTGTGTGTGTGTGTGTTTGAGAGAGAGAGAGAGAGATGCTGTCAGCCTAGTAGCACAGTGAAACCTCAGTTCCTGAATCTGGTTAAATATAGCAGGGTTCTTCAGAGATACAAAAATATTCTTCACAGTATTTTTTCCATCACATCCATGCATGTCATTGTACATCATCCATGACACATGTCAAATGGCACTTAAAAAAAAGAACAGGTTGTTTATTTTATTGACATGGTAGGTATAAGGATAAGAGTAAGAGTCAAGGATCAGACTCGAAGAATGTGTGTTGTCGGAGTGTGTGGGTTGCTGTGTTTTTGAAGAAAAAGCTCCTACTCTATGATGAGTTTAATCTTTTTTTGGGCTGTGTTTGATTTCTTTGATGAAGTGTTTGCACAATACCACAAATTCACCAGAGACATACAGAACTAAATCCTGGCATATGGAGAAAAACTTAAAAAACGAGCTGAAATGATTTTGAAAATTCTATAATTCAAAATGCCCCCCCACACACACACACACGCGCACACACACAATTTTCCCTTTTAATTCATAAGCAGACACAAAACAAAACAAATATAAAAACAAATAGTCTGGCACTGTGAACACTTGGCATCTGTCAAACCATAAAACAATAGAACAGAGAAAATAAACGACACAGTTTTGTCGACAGCCAACGTCTTCACAGAGTCAGCACAGTCAGGAGTCCCACGCTGACTCGCAGCAGTACGGTAGTAGTATTAGTACCCAATGCTTGATTGAAGGAAGTAAGTTAAGCAAGACTGTACCGTCCATGTTTGACTCAGTGTCTCCAGTAGACCATTCTCAAGTGTGATTGTTAACCAACCTATAAAGTGCTTTCAAAAGAATAATCTCATCGTAATCATCCTCATCTATACAATAAATCAGTATGTCAGTTAGGGCATTTTTATGTGTAGGAAAGAAGAGCGAGTAAAGAATTAAAAAGGTCTGTTCAGGCACGAGCAGAGAGCTTCTCTCTTTCTCCTCCTCTGTTCCTTCTCTCCACAGCTTTTCTTTTCCTTTTTCCTTCCTATTGGATTTTTATTTACTTCTTGAAAGGTGTCAGTCTGCCAATGTTGTGCCAGAAGGTGGAGGTTTTGCGCTTGGGCTCAGCCAGCATGAAGACCTGCTGCTGGGGCAAAGCAGTGGGGAGAGAGGGGTGCTTCTGTCGCAGGAGAAAGTCATAGTAGGGTCTGGTCACCGCTGAGGAGAAGGAGATAAATATCTTTACTTTATAACATTCTTATGAGATATCATTGAAATAAGAGAAGCTGAAAAGAATTGTGCATTCATTATATCTTCCAGGTGAGTCATCCGTCATGAATTAATTAATATAATATCAATTAATCAACAGTAAAAGCAGTTCAGTTCAGTTATTTGTTTTTTTGCTGGCTATGTAACTACTCTCTCCAATCAAAGAACACAGATTGTATTGCGAGGAATTTCCTTCAACTTAATGAAAACAAAACTGAGGTAAATCTATTTGGCCCTCCGAGCTCTTTCACTAGCTTAAGCAATTCGCTTGGTCCTCTGACTACAAACCTGCACAATGTAGTTAAGAATCTATGTCTGTTTATGGATACTTCTTTGAATTTTTACAAACAAAAAAGTAGTGTCGCGAAGGGCAGTTTTTTTAATGAGCTTAGAACCATAGCCAAATTGAAGCCATTTTTATCCCATAGAGACCTGGAAACAGTTATACATGCGCTTATCACCTCACGGATGGACCACTGTAATTCCCTGTACATGGGGTTGACCTATTCAACACTGTCCCGACAACAAATGGTTCAAAATGCAGCTACTAGACTTTTAACTGGAACAAAGAAACCGCTTTCTTAGCTCCACAATCCATTACTGATATGCTAATTCAATATTTTGCTCCTAGGGTCCGTAGGTCATCTTCCCTACAACTCCTCTTAGTACCCTTCTCACGCCTTACAACTAAAGGTGACCGGGCCTTTTCTGTTGCTGCCCCCAGGCTTTGGAATAGTCTTCCGTCTAACATCAAGTCCTGTCCCACTTCAAATCTAATTTAAAGACATACCTTTTTTCTGTGGCTTTTACCTGATTCTGTCCCTTATTTTTAATTGTTCTCTCCCACCATTTTAATCTGATGTTTAATCTGAATTTAATTTTTACCAAGTACTCCACATTCCTTTTATTGATGTGTATTAGTGTACTAGTGTTTTATTGTGTATTTGGATACACAATGGTATATACTGTTTGTTCTTTGTGCGTAACCATTGTTTTGTATCGTCATCCTGTGACACCCCTTATAATTGGGCTTCATTTACAACAATATCTCTGAAGATGCCAATAATTTCAATGTAACTGCATGAAAGGGACAAATTTTGCACTAAATATATGCATATTAGCGGAGCACCGAGACTATTTGGCAGTGCAGTAAGGGGTACATTTCACCCTTGGCGAGTACCTTGAGTATTACACGGTTTCTTTTTGTCTTGTTTGTGCCTGTTTAACAGCAGCAAAAAACATACAATCCTTTTGTGTATTCACCACTGATACTTCTGTGATCTGCGTGATTTGTAAGGTATTTATTCCTTGACAAAAGGAAATAAAACTTGTGAACATTATAAAAGGATGTAAATCTACACTAATACAAACACTACACTAAGACTCAGTTGCAGGTGCTTAGTGCCTACTGGCAAGTACTGAAGTCCATGAAATCCAATTAATCGACCTTATTTGAACCCTGGACTGCATACCTTTGGGTTTCCCAGCTGGATGGCTTTTGCAGGCATTCAGCATGGCCTGCTTCTTCTGGACCTCTGTGAGAGAAAAGCCTGAGACGAGAAAAGTAATAGTATCACTATGAAGCTTTCTCAATTAACAGAGTTTCATGGGGAAAACTTAAAACAAAATTACAATAGAAAACTTAGTTACTAGATACCAGACAATGATTTCACACTATGTCACTGATCAACAAGTGTTGGTAACATGAGAACATGAGAACAAGAAACACACAAATGTGCCATCAAAGCCAGTGAAGAAGACTGCAAGCTAATAAACAATAATAATAATAATAATAATAATCTTTATTTGTAGAGCACTTTTCAAAAACAAGTGCTTTAACAAGTGTAAAGACAATAATACCCAAGAAACAATAATACAAAAACAATACAAGATAAAGAAAAGAAAAGACTAAAATACACGTTTAAGATAAATATAAAATTAGTAAAACCGAGTAAAATAAAAGGGATAAAATAAAGTCAAATAAGATCGGGAAAGGCTCTCCTATAAAAGTATGTTTTAAGAAGGGACTTAAAAGAGTTCATTGACTCAGCTGACCTGATTTCCTCGGGCAGGCTGTTCCAGAGCAAACGCTCTGTCCCCTTTAGTTTTCAGTCGAGACTCTGGAACAGACAACAGACCTCTGCCCGAGGATCTCAAGGTACGTGCTGGTGTGTATGGGACTAAAAGTTCAGAAATATAACAAGGCGAGAGGCCATGAAGAGCTTTAAAATTATCAATAGAATTTTAAAACATACTGGGAGCCAGTGTAATGAAGCTAAAATAGGAGTAATGTGGTCATATTTCTTTGTTCTGGTTAAAAGCCTGGCAGCTGAGTTCTGGACAGTCTGGAGTCGATCAATAGATTTTTGGGTTAAACAGGTGAAAAGGCTGTTGCAATAATCCAGGCGTGATGAGATGAAGGCCTTGGTGTCCTTAAAAGTTAATATAGATCGAATTTTTGCTATATTTCTAAGTTGATAAAAACATGATTGAACAAGCTTTGTGGCGTTCTGCTCATTTATTAATTTATTTATTTAATTACTATCAAACCAAACACCAAGGTTCTTTGCCACAGGCTTAATGTGATTTACTAGGGAAGATGGCAGTATTTGTTTTGCCATCTGCTGGGACCCGATGACCAGGATTTCTGTTTTGTCTGAGTTCAGCTGGAGGAAATTATTTGACATCCATTTTTCAAATTCACAAAGGCAGTTGTTAAGTGAACTCAGCATTCCAGGGTCTGTGGATCTGACGGGCAAGTATATTTGTGTGTCATCAGCATAAATATGAAAAGAAATGCCATGTTTATGGATAATATGTCCAAGGGGAAGCAGATACAAGGAAAACAAAATGGGTCCTAAGACCGACCCCTGAGGCACACCATATTTAACTGGACAGAAGGAAGAGACATAGTTGTTTACAGACACGCAAAACTTCCTATTTGACAGGTAGGATGAAAACCATTCTAGGGCAGTACCAGAGATCCCCACCCACTGCCTCAGTCTGTCTAACATGATGGTGTGATCAATGGTGTCAAAAGCAGCGCTAAGGTCCAGGAGTACCAGGACTGAGCACATGCATTCATCAGCAGACATTAAAAGGTCATTGGTGACTTTAAGCAGGGCAGTCTCAGTGCTGTGGTACTTCCTGAAACCAGACTGAAACTTTTCAAATATTTTGTTATTTTCCAGTACAGTGAGCAGCTGTTTGGACACAATTCTTTCTAGAATCTTTGCAATAAAAGGCAGTTTTGAAATTGGTCTAAAATTTTGTGGGAGGGAGGGATCTAAACCAGGTTTCTTTAAAAGTGGGTTCACGCAAGCCATTTTAAAATAATCAGGGACACAACCAGTGGATAGGGAGCTGTTGAAAACAAAGATCAAATGGGGCCCAACAGAATCTATTACTTTCAGTAAAAACTTTGTAGGTATTACATCAAGTGGGCTGGAGGACACTCTCATTTGTGATACTGTTTTTAAAAGCTCAGACAAGTCAATGGGATAAAACTGGTTAAAACTCTCTTGTTGCATCATTACTTCCAGCTGAGGCACAAGGAGGGGTTGGGTTTACCAGCTGATCCACTGTCTTAAACAAAAACCTGGGGTTGTGTTTATGTGTAGTAATGAGTTCAGAAAAAATAAAAAATAAATTGTGTCAGTTATAAAACTGTTAAGAAGGAAGGAAATGCATTCAACATGTTTGTTACACACACAGTAGGTATTGGTGAGTAACAGTTAATGTAAACATAAATGTTTTTTTACAAGAAAAGTCTACAGTTAAATTAACATACATTTCTGTTGAAAAATGACAAGATGTAGCAGAAAAAATATAGCAGTTAGCAAATGTTTTATTTTTATTAATGGTTTCAACAGTTATTAATATAAAGTATAAAACCAACAGATAAACATGGAAACAGACATACAAACCTAAAATCAAAATATTGCTGAATAATGTCCATTTCTCTTACTACCACCCCTACCCCGCTCACGCCAGGTACGCACTTATTCTGTGGGATTTCCTGACACACTGCCAACTGAGGGTATTAAAGTATTGATGAAGATGCAGTGGAGGGATGCTGGATCACACAGCACCGACCTGCCCTATACCCTGAAGATGCAATTGCGTAGGGCCCAGCAAATTCCAGCCAGAACAGTGGCCCCCTTTAAAATACTTGCAAAAAAACTGTGGTCTGCAACATTAAAACCTACCAGTTTAGTCCACTGCGACTGGACGAGACAGTGTATTTTTTGCCAGCAACTTGTGGTGCAGCTCCATGCTGCCTTCATGGGAACAGGAAGACATGTTGTTTAATGTGTAATCTCTGGAAAATTGACACTCTCTTTTTTTGTATTACCGCGAAAAACACCAGCGAGTGACGTGGACCCACCTCGCGCTGTGAGTCAGGATGATTTTTGTGCCAAAGCGGACCTATACAGGAGTTTCAGTATACTATAAAAACGTGACATTAAAAACTGAAGCCCTGACTTGCTCTCTTGGGGACTGTAAGCAGCACTTTATCAGAAGTGCTGAAGTTAACATTTGTGGTTTTTTTCGTGACATTTCTGCCTGTTCACAGGTGTTGTCGGTTAGTTTCGCCCTATACCCTGAACATGCAATTGCGTAGGGCCCAGCAAATTCCAGCCAGAACAGTGGCCCCCTTCCTCAATGGACAGATCATGTTAAGCTAATCGCAACTGCCAGTGATGTTTCCACTCGGCGGGAGAGAGTGGCATTAAGCCAATGGCGTTAAAAAGTAATATGTTTTGTAAAAATCCTACTCATTGTTATGAATATGCTATTAGTTTAACAAGTTGGAAGAATCTTGTTTTGTTTTTTATATTTCAGCCAGTGGTTTTAAGAAACGTTATGTACTATAAAAATTTTACTCCTTCATGTTGTTATGAATACGCGATTCGTTAAAATGTTGGGAAAGACCTGCTTTGTTTTTTATAATTTTTAAATAGCCTATGTCCATAGCCTATATCATACAGCATCCTCTGGTCTGAGAGACTATGGTTAATTATTGTTCCAGTAAAGTGGATTCATTTTTAAAATGAGTTGCTGAACAGGTTTTACGTCACTTTTAAGGGTGGGGTGAGGTGTTGAAAGTAATAGTAACGTTACTCCATTCATCCATCCATCGTCAACCGCTTATCCTGCGTACAGGGTCGCGGGGGGCTGGAGCCAGTCCTAGCTGGCATCGGGCAAAAGGCAGGGTACATGTTACTATTTACTTTTAATACCCAGTAATAAGTAAAGTAATATTATTACTTTTTAAAGGAGAAATAAGTAAAAAGTAACTCATTACAATTTCTGAGTAATCTGCCCAACATTTGCATTTTTGTCAAAAGATCCTCCTAAATATTACACACTAAACCTTTAAGTAAAGGATCTGAATACTTCATCTACCACAGGTCGCCAGTCAAGTGCAAAGTGTAGCTCTTCAAATGTTGACTGTCAAAAAATTAACAACATGGAAAAACACTAAGATAAAAAAAGAAATTAAGTACTAAACTCTTCATATGATCATATGGAAACTTATGTCTAACGAACACAAGGAAAACAACCAACTATAGTCCCAGACAATAGGTCTCTAGGACATACTGCCTTTCCAGGCCCATGCTACTCTCACATCAACACCTTACTCAATCCATCCATCCATCCAACCATCCATCAGAAATATAATGATTGTGTACATATTTAGGGCCCGTAAAAGAGCATTCCTGCAGTACTAATATAAGCAGCGCTTTGTATTGGCTTCAATATAGTACCTTTTGGTTCCCCCCCTCTACTAAAGACTTTGAACTCTCCCACTTCCAGTTTCCAGTTCAGATCAGGAAACTCTGCATGAAAAATCAAAACACTTGGTACCAAGAATATTTCAATAAATGAACTTGGAAAGCAGCAGTTGGTAACAATTGAACATACAATGCGAAGCCTCTACCACCAAACCCAGAAGAAGGAGCCAGTTGCCCTACAAAACCTCATCTCACATAGGGCTTACTCTCCATGGAGAGAGTCTAACCAAGACCCCGGTCTCTCTCGCATGGACTCGTCTTCTATAAAACGCCCCTCCAACATTCACGGCCCTGGGCAGCTTTAGAGGCAGCTGCGAAAACACCTAACAGCGGGATGAGAGGCTCCTTTGAGCCAGGAGCAGTGGATTATTGCAAATGCATTATGATCAGAAGAAGGAGCCAGGGGAGCCAGATTTTTCTCATGCACTACTGTCAGTAGTGTATATGTTACTTGAAGGTATTTTTGACAACTGGTTGTGATTACTGTAATTATGCATAGCACTGACCGAAATTATCTGTTCAAAGTTTTAATTCATAGTTCTCGGCTCCAGGCAAAGTAAGGAGGGCCCCCAAAGAAAATCTTGCCTAGGGCCCCCTGTTGTCTTGAGCCAAGCCAGAGATCACATAATCATTAAAGCGATTCACTGCAGGAGATGTTTCAGTAGAATGTTACTTTTGGGTAAAATCTACAAATGCACAGAGGCAAAATGTACAGTATCTCACAAAAGTGAGTACACCCTCACATTTGTGCAAATATTTGAATATATCTTTTCATGTGACAACACTGAAGAAATGGCAATTTGCTACAATGTAAAGTAGTGAGTGTACATCTTATATTATAACAGTGTAAATTTGCTGTCCCCTCAAAATAACACATCACACACAAACTTTTTTCCCCACTAGTCTGAAAGAAGACATGTTAAGGAAGCAAAGTAGACCAAAATCTCAAAATTGCATGATAAAACAATGTTTTTGCCTGCGGTGTCTCCCCTTAATGGGCTGTAAAGATTTTAAGTTGGATTTTCAACATTTCATCACTGTGAACTCTACACTGTGCATTTATCTGACCTGTCTCACGGTCATGCTGGACGTGAATCCTCTCATCAGCAAAGGCTCGGAACCAGCGCTGTTTCTGCTCTGGCTTCTTGGCACACAGGAGGTGGATTTCGTCACCAGCCAGCGACCGCAGCTTCAGGGCATTCTTCACACTGATATTGAAGTCCTTCTCCTTGCCATCCTCCACATCTATCACCTCCATATGGTCCATGTCCACCCGACCCTTGTAGTACAGCATGTCCCGGCGCAGGAGGTCCTGTAATGATAATTTAATTCAGGCCAGTTCCGCCAAGTTTGAGAGAAGAATGAAGTAATCAGCAGTACCAGCAAAAGCCAACATGGCTGACTGATAAAAGCTGTGTTTCATGACACAGGTATTGAACAAATAGAAGAATAATGTTGTCAGTTAACTCTAGTATCGTGTTTCTCAACCGGGGCGGTACCGCCCCCCCCAGGGGACGTCCCGAGGACGATGGGGGGCGCTGGAAGCAATATTTTGGAAAGGGGGGCTGAGCTGCTTTTGCTGGGCGTTTGATAGTTGAAAATTCTAAGGCGAGTTTACACCAAAGATTCACAACAATACGAGTTTAAACTTTAAAATACTTGCAAAAAAACTGTGGTCTGCAACATTAAAACCTGACAGTTTAGTCCACTGCGACTGGACGAGACTGTGTATTTTTTTGTCAGCAACTTGTGGTGCAGCTCCATGCTGCCTTCACGGGAACAGGAAGTCAGAGTATTATTTGTAAAATTTTACCCACATGGCGTTTAATTTGTAATCTCTGGGAAATACATGGGAGAGATTGTGAATGTGCAGAGAGTTTTGAACATGAGCAGATAAGTTACAGCAGTTTACTATACGTTCAATTATTTGTGGCGGCCTGCCAAAATATCAACGCTGACCGCCACATTGATTTTTGATTCGTTTTACAAGGTATTTGATTGCAGAGCTGCAGGCAGCGCATATTTGCGCAGAACATCCTCGTGCTCGTCCCTCTCTCTCGTCCCTCTCGCTCTCTCTCCCTCATGAACACCACTGCACAAATCAGTCCAACACAAGGCTGTCAATGTCGGAGACCCAGCTTCAAGAGGTTAATAGCAAGCATGTAAGGAGCCTAGCTAATAAGAGAGCTAAGATAAAGTTAGAATACAGCTGGGTTTTCGAGGCTGGTAGTCAATATCGCCCACCTTAACAGATGAGCTAATAAAGTCTAGTCAATAACTGAATTAAAACGGATTCAATTATTAATTTATCACTGAGATGAAAAGTGTTGACTCAGCAGGGATGATATTGAATAAGTTGATCTACAGGATAAAAATATTTAAAACCAATAAAGAATGCTTGAGAGCCTCACAACATTATATTCTATTATATATATATATATTGAATCACCTGCCACCTGAATTTTGTGTTTCCCTTTATATAATAAGACATTTCCACCATAAATTGGTGCAGAAAAAGCAGAAATTTTTTTCACCAAATTGCAGGAAATTACCCCCCACTTATTAAGTGCCCCACCTGGCTTCACACACAGTTTCTGGGAGGAACATTCACTTATTAGATAAATATAATTACTTTTCAGAGGGCTTCTTTGTTAAATAATATATTTTCAATGATTAGAAAATGTACATTCTTCATTATAAATTTCCTGTAAGGCAAGATGTTAGATTGGGATACATTGCACCGTAGTGGATCATTGTGGCTGCCATTCAAACTAAGTAATATAGAAAAGGAAGCATGCATAACTTATTTATGACTCAAAGTTGATGCACAGTCTAGATAAGATACTAAAAGCTCTGGAGTCAGAGACCAGCTCTGGCATGTGTTTTTTTTTTATATGCTACCTGAGCAGATATATAATGATCATGTTTCAGATGTAAAGCTTTCAGGTCCTGGTAAGTTCTATTTCATATCTGTCCAGGTATCTCAATAAAAACAACTTCTTAGTTGACATTTTTTACTTACTTCATTGCAGAGGGACTTAACGAGACCAACTGTCTGATTTGAACATATTCCAGGCTCTTGCCAAGAACACTGATTATTTTCTAATACTCAGTTAACTAATAAAAAAAAATATCAAAATGGCATTATACACTTACATGTTAACTTCTTTTTTCTTGTAGTTGCTCCTATGTTTATTTACCTTTTTTACACAGGCTTTCCCTGGTAACTCTGTGTTTAAAGGAGAACCATTATACTGCTTTTCAAGTCTTATATTGTAGTTCTGTGACTCCTGTATATCAGCATTGTATGATTCAAAGTTAAAAAAGCTTTTCAGCTTTTTTGTCTGAAACAAGCTGGAGATGCTCCTGTCTTTAAGTCTTTGAGTGGGGAGATTGGGATTTAGCCAATTAAAAGAAGTTTTGCACTACATAGCACTTGAGTGCTGCTACTAAGACATTTTAGGACACCACTTGGGGCCTGGGAAATTATCATTATTTTTCTCTTTATTGGCTTAAATGTTGACATGAAAATGTATGTAATTTTTTAGCACATTTTGATGTCATCAAAAATTTATTATTACATAAACTTAGTTCATATTTTGATCATGTCCCCTACTGAATTAAATATCAGTGACTATTGCGCATTGTGAAAGGTTCTTATCAGTGATTTGATTAGCCCATTAGAATTCCTCTCTAGGACGATTCTAGGACTACACTTTTTGTGGATGCTTTTAATTTATTATTATTATAATTTTTTATTATTATTAATTGTAATTTATTACCACTTAAAGGAAGTAATGCCCACTCATGACACTGTGCAAATGGGAAATGGTGCACAATTCAACCAAATAGAAAGTGGCCAACAGGCTTTAGAAGTATGCAGAATTTTACCAAAAAAAAATGTTTGACTCCTTGGAGTGAAAGATACAGTGTGGCATGCTGAGGCACCTTTTTGCAGTACACCATCTGATGATCAAAGAGGAAAAACATTCTCTGTTGACTCTTAGTCTGAGGCAGGGATAGCTTGGTCAACTCCCCTGAAAAGATGAGATCAGAGCTCCTGATGAGGATGTCTTCACCCTGCATGGATCGGAACACACACACATGCAGCTGTTACTTGCTACCCAGAACTGAACAGTATGAAATGAGAGACCCTTTTAGAACAAAGAGCTTTCTTGCCACACCTCCCAGTCCTCTATTGAGCTCTGCCACTGGGCGATCTTGTCGATGTTCTCAAGACGACGTTTCCTCTCGTTGATCAGCCTGGCCACGTTTTTCATGGCGTTTAAGGCCGCCTCCACATCTTTGTAGTCCCTAAAGATTAGACAGTAACATGCAGTTGGTGTTTAAAGCTGAAGCTTGAAGGATAAGTCTTTTGATATTTTATATCTTTCTTATAGTCAAGAAATTCTATAAAGATACCAAAGCAAACAATGAATGCATCATATTAACAATTATCTTTGTATCCAAAGCCTGATATATTCCTCTGTGCCATAGAGCTCCATTGTTACCACCTGAGTTCTCTCTGTAATTATTTGGTGGGTGGGTATCTTTGGATTGGTACTCCTTGTACCTCTCTGTTGTGTAGTGTCCCCTAAGGTTTTGTCCTGGGGGTAATACTGTTTGCCTTGTTCTCGCTTCCTCTTGGGCAGATGAGTCATTTTAAATGTATCTCCTACCATTGTTATGCAGATGATATGCAATTACACATCACGTTTAAGCCTCAAAATGTTTCAAAACTGTCTGCTTTTGAATGGTGCTATATAAACATATTATTATTATTATTATATTACCACCATGAACACACACATTGTAATTTATTTTCTGCTGCTACAAATGGAGCATCAAGTGTGGATCAGTCCACCTTTGAAAATAGTCCATATTTCCTCCTGTTATAGTAACTTTTGATAACAACTTCTGTGTCAGCTTCAGAAGGAAGAGCGCCACAGACTGGATAGGCAAGTCAGAAAAAGAGACTTTTGTGACTATTAGGAGTTTTGGTGTTTTCAATTTGTTTGTTCTAAGACAATATAAAATAACACCAGCTCTATGCTTTAATGGCTTCCTTGACACCTCTTTCAAACCATCAATCTTCTCTGTCTAAAATGTGCACCGGAGGTCCTCAAACGAGTGTCCTTTGTTCTTCAGATGTAGGTAAACAGCTGAGGATTGACCTGAAGAGTTGGCCCTTCTGTGTTGAGCAATGCATTTGTGTAGTGGTTGTTTAGTTCTTCTTCCTGGATCTTGTAGCTGTTTTCACAAAGGTCCATTTAGGGTATCCACAGGCAGTAACTGCCCCATTCACATGGTTTTATTTTTCTTGGGCTTAGGCACTAGTTGGTATTCTCAGCTCAGTGGTGCAGTGGGTTTACTGTATACTCCAATGTGCAGACTCCTGTCCTCTTCAAAGTGTACAGAACAGTCCAGGAAGGCCAAACTTGTTGTGGACATCTTCTCGTGTGAACTTGCCTGCACTTCCTGGGTTTTAATTTTGAACCATGTGTCATCCACATACCTGTACCAGTGGCTCTGTGCTGTTCCTCTGAAGGAGTTGCTCTCCACTTCTTCCATGTAGATGTTAGCCATAATAGGGGATACTGGTGAGCCCATGGCATAGCCATGCTTCTGTCTTTAAAATCCTCTTTTGTACTGGAAATAAGTGGTGTTTAGACAGAGGTCCAGTAGTTTACAGATCTGGTCAGGGCTGAGGTTAGAGGTTCATTTATTGGTTCATTTATTATCTTACAAAAAACTTCCTGGAACAGACAATCATCCATGAAAGGGCAATTTTAATAAACAGTTTTTGGCTGTAAATATTTTGACATGGTCTGAAAGGATATCTTTGATGAATAAAAAATGTTGCACCAATGGATCCCCAGAAGTCTTTCCCTGTGTGAACACATAATTAGTTTGCAGTTACCTGTGCTGTGGGTTGGTGTATTTGAGCAGCTCAGCCAGCTGCAGTGGGTACTTGCAGATCTTCTGAACTGGGGTGAGCAGGAAACCGTCCAAGGAAATGTCGATCATCTTCTGGAGCAGTCGGCACGCCTCGAAGAAGAACACGTATTTGTTGACCTTCATGACCTTAGAGAGCTGGATGCAGGCATTAGGGTGGTTGTTGCAATACTCTGAATAGATCTGGAAATCTGTTTGCTACACATAAAAGACAACAAGAGAATGGATTAGAAGCACGAAAACTGTATGGGTAGACCCTTTATTGTTCACTAACTATATCAGTATTAGTTTTTGAGGGTTCTAGAAAACAAAATAAAAGTTTAATAAAGAGGCAATGTGGAACAACACAGAATAAAAGATTTCTGACATTAAGCAAGAAAGGTTTTAAACTAGCTTGTCTGTGCCGTTTTCATACATTCTGAAACAAGCATATTGAAATACCTATGCAGAAATTCATAGGCTTCTGATTGACTTTTGTGACTCAGCTTACGTGTTCAAGGAAGCAACAGCCGATCTCGCTGAGGTGGGGCTGCTCCTTGTTGAATTTCTTCTCCAGGCCTTTCAGGAACTTCTTCTGGAATCGGTAGATGTCTTCAATATTGCCAAAGATTGTACGAAGTTGGTCTTCAGTGAACATGTCTGTCCTCTTGCGGCACTGTTTGATGTAACCCTGGAGGTTTAAATACATTTAAACATCCATCAAATACAATACATACATTATACAATAATACACATAATAATAATGTATAGTATAACGCTGTTGGCAGGCATAATCTGCTTTCTTAAGGAAGGAACGAGACAGTATTTTTTCAATGTCATTTTTCTGCCAAAACCCTCTCTTAGTTGTTTAGGATGTTTGTTAGACAGTAATCTGGGGTTGAGTGTCTGTCGAAAGTGACCAAGAGAACCAGGTTTGTAGCTCCAAAAGCTAATTTAAAGGATGAGTAGAACTAAGTTTGAGACCTGATAGTAAACAGATGAATTTATTGAAGCTAGTGTATGAAAAATGATCTAATCCAGACCTCGCAGATGTCTTTCAAGTGCTTGATGTAGTCTCTCTCAGTGCTCATGATCTCATTGATGACGTTGGTCCTCATCTGCTCTTTGCAGGGTAAACCAGGTCCTAGCAACAGGCCCAGACCAGCCCCAACCTCCTCGCCAGCCTGAGCCTCCTCCAGGTGCGCCAGATACTCCTCCATGGGCTCATCCTGGTTCACACGCAACTGAGAAGGATACAGGTAACTGTTAAAACCCGTGGAAGCATTCAGATTTTCTCTCTGCATCTCTCTTATTTTCAATTCTCTCTTGAGAAATGCAGTTCCAATTTTGTTACTGCTTCTAGTTTACAGTTGTGCAGGTGATTTAATGAGAGGAACATGTGCTCAAACATTCTAATAAGCCTACCTTCTGTCAAGACATTTGTTTAATGTTTTTTTCTTACTTGTAGATTCTTGTGCAAGAACATGGCACACTTATTATAAGTCATGTTTTAATGACAATCCACTTAAAAAATAACAGAGCATTGCAGCAGTATTGCAGCAGCTGCAGTTATAAATAAAATGAAAATTTCTGTTTCTTCTAGGAGCCAGGACAGAGTTTTTCTCACCCGTACAAAGCTGGCTGGGAACCAGCCCTCGCTGTCCATAATGCGACCCCACCACCATTCCTTGTTACTGGCGTCCACTACTTCGATGACATCACCAGCCTTGAATCCCAGCTCTTGGTCGTCCATTGTGACATGGTCCCAGAGGGCCTCGGCAAACACCACGCTGCCATCACTGATCAGCTGCAAAGGAAGCACCACAAAAGGGACATAGGTAGGGGTCTGATTTATAAGCGTTGCATACACACAAAAAAGGACACTTTCTGAGCATAAATTCGGATTTATAAAAGACGTACATTTACGCTGAGTTAAAAAGTGCCAAACCAAACACTAAATATGTTGCTGCATGTCCTAGGCCCAAGTGTCACAGAACAAAATAGGACGCTCGGGTCAGGGTCAGCGTTGCGTTCAAGTTGGATGTTTGGTACCCTGTAGACCCGGCTTTAAATCTGGTTGGACTTACTACTACTACTTTTGTCTTGCAGCCATAACAATGAGCCTGGCTCTTTGGCGTTGCGGTCAAGCTGCACGTTTGGTACCCTGTCGACCCGGATTCAAATCAAATCTTGGCCCTCCGTCACAGTTACCTCCTCAAAATACCAAACAGCCTGCTGTGCCTCCTCCACATGCCAAAACAGAGATGTGACCAATTATGGATTTATGGCTCCGCTTAAGACAACCAACATCCTTTAGTTTATGTTGCCACTACAGAAACAGGTGTAGTGTAGGCACATGCTTTGCCTTATGGAACATCTACTCATTGAGCTACAGTAGGCAATAACATACAGCATCTCACAAAAGTGAGTACATACTTCACATTTTTGTAAATATTTGATTATATCTTTATCATATGTGACAACACTGGAGAAATGACACTGTGGTACAATGTACAGCTTGTACAACAGCGTAAATTTGCTGTCACCTCAAAATAACACATCACATAGCCATTAATGTCTAAACCGCTGGCAACTAAAGTGAGTACACCCCTAAGTGAAAATGTATTTTTATATAAAATTAAAATTCAGCTCCGATGTCTAATATATTGATACAATTTTCTTGTTCCCACAATTGGCTATTGTACTTTGGCTGCACAACAAAGTGATACTAATTCTGTTAATAAATATTATTTTTCTAACAATGCTGTAGCATACAATGATACTAATAATTAATAATGCCCAAAAATCCAAAAAGTATACCTCCCCTGAGGATGGGTCATAAACTACTACAAGGTTGAGAAGCGACTGCTTGTGGGGTTGTGGGGGGAAAATGTGTGATACAGCACACCCATTTGAAGAGGAAACAATATAGGAAAGAACAAGAATATAAAAATAAACAAGGATAACTTTTTAAAAACAAATTGACAAACTAAAATGAGAAATAATATAAATAAAAATAACATCATAAAAAGAAAGATTCTTAGAGTAACTGCAAAATAAGTTATTGAAAGAAATCTTTGTAAAAACTCTAAAGGACATATTTGATCTAATTAAATTTACAAAACCTCTCTGCTACTGAACATAGGAAGAATATGACATAGGACTAACTGCTATGATGAGAAGACTTTTGTAAGAAGTTAAGAATGCTTTACTGCTGCAGAAATGATTAATTTTACTTATTTGTTTCAATATCTCCCTCTGGCTGTGATGGTTTAAAGCACCAGGTGACAACGGATGTCTAAAGTGAGTCTAACCATCAGACAGATAGAACAATAACTAGGTTAAAGCCAGCTAAAGATGGCCTAAGAGGGAAGACAGAAACATAAAAGGGACCAGAAGATGTTATCCTTCAGATTTGATGTTGCGTTCGATGTGTCTGTAACACAGCATCAGTCAGAACACGACCACTCAGCAGGTGGCGTATGGGCTTAGTGGGTTTTTTGCCCAGTGCAAAAGGCACTTAAGATGGGAGTACAGCGCAGGGAAGAGGAAGAGGTAGCAGAGACAGAGCGAGACCAGAAAGAGATGGAGCCAGTGTTATTGATGAAGACACTGCAGTGGTCATATTTCACACCACCTCGCACACTGCGTCAACACAGCCCCAGGCTTCACAGAGGCCATCTATTATGCTGCTCAGGCTCTCATTCCTGCAGAGGGCAACACCAATCCTGCTTGACCAAATCAGCCCAACATTCCTCCTCTCTGCAGGCTGCCTTCTTTCAAGTATAGAAGAGAAATCTGGGGGTCTTTCACTAGTGTTGGTAAAGACTCATTTTCTTTTTCTCTGTGATGTCTCGTAGCTCCACTGATCCATCATGGTCATGAGGGAATCAGTCGATGTGGCTGTTGCTAAGCAACACACCCACACCATCTTGCCTTTCTGCTGCCTTTCTCTCCAGTTTCCTCTTTGACTACATGACACCACAATATCATCCCTTAAATGTTATGATAGTAAACAGCTACATACAGTTTGTTGGAAACAGGTAGATCATCCAGATCCAGACAGTGCTCCTAGAGCCGGTCTAAGGGTCACTATGGCAACAGCAATGGACACTACACTCACACACACACACACACACACACACACACACACACACACACACACACACACACATACACACACACACACACACACACACACACAGCTGTGCCCTTGTCACCTTTCCCCCTGATCCTAATGTGAGCAGCTGAGCAAGCATAAACAGCTCTAAACAGACACACATGTGGGACCTGGATTATACCTGTGAAAATGAAATACTGTTTATTCAATGTACTATTTACTGCAATATGTCACACTAATACATATATTCGTATAATCAGGCCACTAATTCTATTAAAGTGAAAACAATGTGGGAAAGAAAAATTACTGTGGTCAAACTGCTCACAACAAACAGACATGTACAACCTATGATGAGGGGCCCCAAGTGGATATTGCTTCATTTTAAGGGGTCAAAACAAAGAGGTTGGAAAGACCTGGTTAATTTCATATCATATTCACTTTCCATTTATCTCTGCCAGTCTGGGTGCCAGTTTTGGCTTCGCCCTCCCTCACATGTTTAGAATTTATTGCAATTTACTTTGTCTTTTTCTTAGATTTTGAAATAGTCATTTAATTTTGTACCATGATTACAGTGCATAATGGGCTCTTTACACCAGGAATATAATTTCAAGTGACATAACAATACTGAACATGTGGAGCTACATGAGAGGTATCGGAGAGAACAGAGGAAAAGTTGCTCAGCTTCACCGTGTACATAGTGAAAATATATGTTAAAAATAATGAATAGTAAAATAACCTCATTTTTTTCTTTCTGGCAAGTGCGTAAGGCACTTCTAGGTGAGAACACCTGGCCAGTGGCCCCAAGATTTTTGAGTTAAAACGCCTGATTTAGCTAAACTGTCAGAACTTTAGCTATTGTTGCTGTTGCTACTATCATGCACCTAAAATTCCTGACCTCCAACTACAAAAAGTACAATAGAATGCCACTCAAAGTTCCTACTTGTGACCCTGGGGCAAATATATCTACCCTAATTTCACTCAACTATGGCAGCACCAATAGAAGCTCATTTTATAAATGGTAAAACATTAAATGCAACAGGAAGTATATTGGCCTGTATGTAATTAAAATAACAACAATAATAATAATAATAATACCATATAGTAAAACGTGTTCTGTAAGTAAATTGATGTCAGCATATGTCGCCAATGTTATTAGTTAGATGGTTACAGTAAACAATCTCTAAAAGTTATCTTCTCTGCACAAAAGTTTCAGGAAGGTTATAAAAGTGCCAAGAAAATGTAACAACAAATACACAACATTTACTGACTTTTACAGATTACCAACTGATGTAGCTATATGGGTGTAAAGTTAATGAGTAATGTATGTCACTCGCTTTCATTAAAAAGGCTTATTAATTAACAGCAAGAGCACTGCTGAGTGTTCAGTTGTGTGCACACTTGGCAAAGAAACATCAGTTTGTCATGGTCAGTCATGTTTTCTGTTTACATTTGGCGTCAGCAGAGTGTTGAGCATGATGTGGCTGTGCTGTTGTATAAAAACTGACATTACACTGAATTTATCAAGAGGACAGGTAAACGAGAAGTAAGAGTTTTCATAACAGAAGCAGATCAGAAAATAGTGTGGCTTCTTTTTAAAAAAGAATGCAGAAGTCGAGGTAAAGCAAGGCCCGCCCACTAATACTACTGCATGTAAATTTTGAAAAGACAGGTTCAGTCATATTCATAAATGATGTTCAACTTATGTCATTACAGTCATAATTATATTTGATTCATTACTGCTCTGATAAGGTGCAAGAGTAGAGTTATATACCAGTGATCTGACATTTAATTATTTACAGTAGATAATCTATCTATTTTAACAACCAGGCAGAAAATAAAAATATACGTGAGAAGACTGGTGTAGTAAAGAGCTGTAGTCTCTCACTTCAAACACTGTATCCTGAGATGTCAGCTCTGTATACCTGTACTGCTGTACTGCAATACTATACTGTAATTAAGCAATTTAGCAGCAGCAGCACTCCACACTAAACACTAGTGTCCATTAGTGATTACAAAAAGACAGAAAATGATACCTCACTAGGTACTGATTACATCACGAATGGTTGACTGGTGTCAATGATATAATAGACAGGTCAGATCAGCAGACATATGAAAGCTGTCTATTCAGTTCTGTTGAAACTGCCAAGTTGTAGTTGTATGTTCAAAACACAATCAGCCATCTAAGAGTTATCTAAGAGCTGAGGAGCTGCAACAGGGTCGCCGCAGTGTGTTACATCACCTGATAGCCCTCTGATATATTATTGTTGCATTTAAAGGGTTGGTTCATCCAAAACAGACAAAAATCTAACTACTTTATACCTAAGAAATACTCCGTATTAAAAAAATGTCTGTTCTGTGGATCATCCATAGTAACATATAACACGGCACACTTTTTCTGAAAGATACATTGAGGTTTAATTTTTAAGAGTAAGGTTGGCAATATTCTAAATTTTTGTCAGAGTCAACAAATCCCATGTGCAGAACCTACCCCAAAATGAATGCATCCTATTGGTATCAATAAGTATTGTGTGTGTGTGTGTGTGTGTGTGTGTGCGCGTCCTCTTTGCCATAGAGTTCCAGTGTTGTCTAAAAAACAAAAGACACAAATGAGCCACATTGTTGCATTGGGTGATATGTTTCTTCATTACCATGAACAAACACAGTAGTTTATTTTCCAAATACACCTT